AATCACGTTTATTTTTAAGCCAAAAAATGCTGATCCGGCGCTGGAGCTACAGAAAACCTAATGTCATCATTTGAATTGCTGGACAGAAAAATAAGTGACAGCAGAAAGGCAGTCGGACTTGAGAGGTTCCGGAAACATCCAACTACGGATCTGAAACACGAGGCATGACAGGAGCTGGTCAAGAGCTCCGGGAGGACATTCACATCAGAGGCTAGGCTGGCTCGCTCAAACCAAGATCTCAAACACCTTAAAAAGTATAGTCGAAGCGACATCTGCAGTTGTTCATTGCAGCACTGTTTGCATTAGCTAGAATCAACCCGAGTGCCCGAGAACAGATGACTGGATAAAGAAGCTTTGGTACATCTACACAACGGCGTACTGTGTAGCTGTTAGAAAAGATGAAGTCATGAAATTTACATACAAGTGGTACAACATGGAAAGTATCATGCTAAGCGAAATGAGTCAGAAAGAGAGGGATAGACATAGAAAGAGTGCATTCGTCTGGGGAACATAAAGTAATAAAATAGGAGACTAACACCCAAGAATAGCTGAGATAAGTACCAGGAGGACTACTCCATGGCTTTGAGGACAGCCGCACACGCTAGGGGAAAAGGCAGCTCAGATAGAGAAGGGAGCACCAAGCAAAGGGTATTGGGAGGATCCTCCCAGGATGGAAGAAGCGTGCTGAAAGTAGACTCTAGACCGAACATGATTGCCACTCAATGCCTCTCTTGCAAAACACAACATCCAAAAGGAGAGAGAGAACAAAAGGGAATGCCCTGCCACAGAGGCAGGGTGGGATGGGGGGGGGGGGACGGGGGTGGGAGGGATACTGGGATCAGTGGTGGTGGGAAATGGGCACTGGTGGAGGGATGGGTATTTGATCATTGTATAATTGAAACGCAAGCACAAAATTTGTAAGTCTACAACTGTACCTCATAGTGTTTCACTAATAAAAATTTAAGAAAAAAAAAATTCACACAAGGTCCAGTATCAGACTGTGTCAGAGAGCAGAGAAGGGGCAGCGATGAGGCCGGGGCCAGCTCGGGGTCCCGGGACAGACGGGGAGGGGGAAGGGCAGGGGGCGCACAGACACTGGCTGGGGCGGAACCGGACTCCCCCACTTCACTTTCTGATGAAAACACACATAGCAGGGGGAGCACTATCGGGGGGACAGAGGCAGCAGAGAGGGGGGCTTCCCCTGTGCCTGGGTCCGGCAGGGAGCTGGACAGTGCTCCTGACCGACTGACCGACTGACCGTGCAGGGACAGGGCACAGGTATTGTGCTGGGTGCAGCGCGTCCCCGCCACCACCACCCCTCACTGACACCGCTGGGCTCCTGCTGCTGCAGGCTGGGGTGGATCTGGATGGACGGACAGACGGACAGAGGGACGGGCAGACAGGGAGGCTGGGCGGGCAGCCCAGGATGGAGCAGCAGCCGGTCAGCTCCCCCCGTGGCTCCAGGAGGGCGGCCGGGAGCACCACGAGACCGTGACAACGGCCACCATGATGGCACCACAGGGACAAGGGGTGAGGCTGGCTTGCTGGAGACGGGACAGACGGCCCGAGGGAGCCTCGGGACAGGGGACGGAGGGGAACGATGGCCAGAGGGAGCCTTGCTCAGACACGGCCCCTCGGGGTGGGATGGTCATCTTCACTTTGCTCAGGAAAGAAAACTCTGGTGATCAAAACCCGAGGGCTGGGGGCCAGTTCCCAGAGCGCGTCTGCTACAAAGAGATGGGGACATGCCCACGCCCAAGCACAGAGAGGGGGACACGCCGACCCCATAGCACAACAGCACAAAGAGGGGACATGCGACACCCACAGCACAGAGAGGGGGACACAACCACAGCAGAGAGGGGGCACAGGACGCTCACAGCACAGAGGACACGGGATGCCCACAGCACAGAGAGGGGGACAGGCTGACGCCCACGGCACAGGGCCCACAACGAGTCTGCCAGGGACCAGCGGTCTGGTCCGGAGGAAGGACACTGCTGACGACCAGCGGGCAGAGGGAGGGTGCTTGCATCGCCTGCTACTAGCCTCCGGGGGAAGGGCCAGCCTTTGCCATGCCAGGGCACATGATGGGTGGCAATGACACAACACGGCACAGAGGGGCCTCCAGCTAGCAGAGACACAATCCCTGCAACTCCGCAGATTTCCCCTTGTGCATGGCCCATGGGAGAATAAAGCACACGGGTGGAATATTATACAGCTATGAAAAGGAAACCGTGGGGCGAGGGAAGGCACTGGGCTTACATACTACTGGTGTGGGTTCAATCCTCAGCACCACATAGGGGCCCAAGCCTCACCAGGAGTGATCCCTGAGCACCGAGTCTGGGGGAAGCCCTGAGGACCCCCGAGGGGACGCCAAAACAAACCTGCAAACAGGAAATCCTGCTGTTCTCGGAAGAACAGGGACAGACCTCTGGGGCACGATGCCAGGTTTTTAACACAGTGACACTATGCCCACATGTCCTGCTCCCCCCCACTCCCACCCCACAGCCTCGCCACAAGCTCACAGCTACAAAGATGAGCTTGGAGACGGAGAGTCGCCAGGGCTAGGAGAGGGGAAGGCCCAAAGGGTAGAGAGGACAGGTGAAGGGTCAATGGGTAGAGTCCCCGTTGGTCCCCGTGGCCCAGTGCCCAGCCCCACGGCTGCAGCTGGTGACAGTGTGCTGTGCGTGTGGACGGGGTGAGGGTTAGTCCGGGACGTTCTCACAGTAAGAGAAACGCTTCTCACTCACCACAGCAAGTAGGCAGGTGCTGAGATCCCCGGGGTGACACCTCCGGGACGGGGCTGGGTGAGGACAGCGACAAGCCCACACCGAGGCCAGGAGCTGGCCTGGGCTGGGCTGAGTCTCCTAATCACGACGAGACACCTACCCAGAAGCTTAGATCCGTCGGCAAAATTAAGCCTTAGAAGAGCCCGATGAAAAGCTGCACTGTCGAATCAATTCCTAGGGCCACAGAGAGAGCGCAGTGGGTGGGGCACCTGCCTCGCACACAGCCGACGGCGGCTCTATCCCAGGAACCACACGGGGTACCCCGAGCCCCAGGAGAGATTGCTGAGGACAGAGCAAGCCCAGAGCTTACTCACTGCCGGGCGTGCCCCAGAAACAAAGTCCTAAGATGATCGTATGAAATTCTCATCGCTGAATCTAGAATTTTATTCCTAACGCTTTCTTCAAAGAATCTCCTAATAGCTGATGCCCGGCACATTCTACGCTTCCTCCCTAAACAAACGCCCAATCGCAAAGCGCGATGAGCAACGCAGTTTCTTCAAAATATCACCGGCACAAAACAAATTCCCAAGTTTTTACCTACGATTTTCACTTCGCTGGCTGCCGGTGTGGAAAGGAATTTACGAATAATGCTTCCAGCCAGGGGTGAAGCTGAGCTAGAAGCCCACAGAGTTCAAAATACAAGCCCGGCGCTGTCTGGAAGAGCTCACCAGCACACACGAACGGTTCCCAAGTATTTAAAATCAATAAGAAAGAAATAAATTCATTTAATAACGTATCTTTTAAGTCAGGAGAATTATGGAAATTCCAGTATTTTATTTCTCCCCATGCTTAGCTTCAGGGAAAAAGAGATGATGATTCTGAAGAGACCCTATAATTTTCTCTATCTCAGTGGCTCTAAAGCTGGTTTCTATTAGCAGAACGAAAATATCCCATCTTGCAAAGAGCCGGTAATCACAGCTGTGAAGCCGGCACTTCCTAACGGCCTTGCCAATGTCACCCGTCTCCGTACTTGGTGTTGTCACAGCAATGCCCTGTCTGTCCCAGGACAGATCTACCCTATCTTAGTACTGAAGGTGGCTTTGTAAAAATCGCTCTGCTCTTGAACTGATTCTGGATATATTCCTTTATCTACTTACATCCAAGTGACTTATTACAGGGAAGGTTTTAACATTTGGTCCTCAGCTAACTAAAATGGCATCCACTTGAGTCAAGCAGATGAATAAAATGTCACCAACAGTAGTTTTACATTTTACATTTAGATGTGTGTAATTATAATAATAGCTTTTAAAACTCTCAATTTGCTCTTTAGGATAAAACTTATGTATGCACACACTTGAAGAAATAGAATACTGTCTAGATCACGATACTGTAAATTATTCTAAATAAGTCAGAATAATTTATTATTATAATTTATAATTTGGCGTGTTCGATATGCCAAAACCCAGGAACGATGATGGGTCTCCTTCCCCTGACCCCGAAGGAGCCTCCACTGTGGCACTTGCTCAAATCCCAGGGCGGGGACGAATGGAGACGTTACTGGTGCCCGCTCAAGCAAATAGACGGAACAATGGGTGACAGTGATACGGTGATCAGAATTCACTCAGAATAAATCAAATTCCATTTAAAGAGTTAACTGTATTTTTCAGATTTATACTGTGCCGAACCATTTTTCTGTAAATGGTGGGACCACAGTAAAGACAAAGAGAAGAGCTAATCTGGCAGTTATATCTGTATCATTTTGCTTCCAAACTTCTCCCCTGCTGGTTCTGCATCCTTCTTCATTCTAGAACTTCTCACAGGCAGAGCTGTCCCTGGCCGTGCTCCTGCACTGTGCCCCGGCACGTCTGGATCCAGAGAAATAGTTTCCTTTTTCTTCCTTTGTGGCCTCTGGGCCACACCTCGTGACGCACAAACTCACCCCTGTGCACTCAGGGAGCACTCCCGGCGGGGTCCCAGGGAACACAGGGGATGCCGGGATCAAACCCGGGTTGGCAGCATGCAAAGCACGTGCCGAACCAGCTGGATCCTTTCTCTGGCCTGAGAAAGAACCTCCTTCCCAAGCCCAAGGACACCCGGCTCTGTCCTGCGGCCCACACAGTCCTAGGTGTGGACATCTCCCCCGGCAGACCGTGGGGCCAGGAGGCAGCTCTGCACTCACACACACACACACACACACACACACGCACACACACATGTGCGCGCGCGCGCGCGTGCGCTCTCGCCTGCCCACCCACCTGCACAGCCAGCCCGTACCTTGTACTCGTCCACGATGATGCTGAGGGCTTCATGGCCGGCCTTCCTCATGTCCTCCAGCTCTTGCTTATGTTTTTCCTGAAGCAGAAAGGGAACAGACTACCATCAAATCTTTCGTTGCTCAAACAACGGAACCACAGACTTGGACATGGGTGGTGACGGTGGGGTCCGTGCCACACCCATGCCGCTGCTGAAATCAAAGAGAAAAACGATTTTTGAGGGGCCAGAGTGATAGTACAGCAGGGAGGGCATTTGCCCTGCACGCATGCGCGGCTGACCCGGGTTCAATTTCCAGCATCCCGTAGGGTCCCCCGAGAACCGCCAGGAGTAATTCCTGGGTGCTTGAGCCAGAAGTAACCCCAGAGCATCACCAGGTGTGACCCAAAAAGCAAAACGAGCAAACAAACAAACAAAAAAACTATTTTTAAAAGTTCTGAGTTATGTTTAAGACTCTGGGAGGTTGTGACAAAGAGGAACCGGTGGCCCGCGCAGAGGTCAGCCAGAGCTCCGGGGCACGTGCTGCCCGGCCTGAGTGGACTCAAGGCTGTGTATTACTTTTCTAGTAACACAAACTATTCAATAAGTAAAGTCAGAGAATGACTAATCTAAGTGGCCAACATTACTGGCCCTCTTCTACCGAGTGGGGGGCACGGGTGGGCTGTCTGCGTCCGTTGTCACCCTCCGACAACAGACACGACCACGTTCCACTTTCTCAAGCCCAGCGTCAAGTCTTCAACCCCGCACTGTCAGACTGACGAGAAATCGTACGGGGGGAAAATAACAAATGGCAAAAATGAGAGTCACGGGTGGTTTGGATCTTAGCTGTCATACTGTTAAAAGTATTTCTGAGGGTCAGGGAGGCAGGACAACGGTAAGGAGCTTGTCCGGCACATGGCTGACCCAGGTTCCATCCCTGACACCACTGTGGCCCCCTGGCCACCAGCAAGCGTGATCCTGAGCACAGAGCCAGGAGTCAGCCCTGAGCAGAGCCGGGTGAGGCTCAGAGACAAACACAAGGTATGAATTACGTTTAAAAATACAGGGAAATGGAAAAAAGTGTATAGGATTGAAATTTTACCAAAGAACTGGACTTCATGTTGAGAAGATGAACAACTAGTAACTCACTAAGAAGACCAGTAGATGAAAAAATAACAAGGAGACAAAATGATAAAAACCCAGAGTGGGGCATAAAGATAAGCACAAAGGTCACTGTCTTTAAAAAAATAAATTCACTCCTGGGAATATCTCCCAGAGAGGCAAAAAGGTACAGTCGAAGCGACATCTGCAATTGTCTGCTCATTGCGGCACTCTTTACGATAGCCAGAATCTGGAAAAAACCTGAGTGCCCGAGAACAGGTGACTGGTTAAAGAAACTTTGGTACATCTACATGATGGAGTACAGTGTAGCTGTGAGAAAAGACGAAGTCACGAAATTTACATACAAGTTGTACTACATGGAAAGTATCATGTTAAGCGAAATGAGTCAGAAAGAGAGGGATAGACAGAGAAAGATTGCATTCATCTGGGGAACATAAAGTAACAAAATAGGAGACTAATACCCAAGAATAGCCGAGATAAGTACCAGGAGCTTTACTCCATGGCTTGGAGGCCAACCACACATGCTAGGGGGAAAGGGAGCTCAGAGAGAGAAGGGAGCACCAAGTAAAGGGTGTTGGGAGGATCCTCCCAGGATGGGAGAAGCATGCAGAAGGTAGACTATAGACTAAACATGATTGTCACCCATTGCCTCTTTTGCAAACCACAACACCCAATAAGAGAGAGAGAGCAGGGTGGGATGGGGGGGATGGGGGGTGGGAGGGATACTGGATCCGTGATGGTGGGAAATGGGCGCTGGTGGAGGGATGGGTATTTGATCACTGTATAATTGAAACCCAAGCACAACAATGTGTAAGTCTGCAACTGTACCTCATGATGTCTCACTATTAAAAATTTTTTTAAAAATTCAAATAAAAGGTGAAACAATAAGGAGCTGGAGAGATGGCACAGCAGGTAGGGCGTTTGCCTTGCACGCGGCCGACCCGGGTTCGATTCCCAGCATCCCATATGGTCCCTTGAGCACGGCCAGGAGTAATTCCCGGGTGAATGAGCCAGGAGTAACCCCTGTGCATCGCCGGGTGTGACCCAAAAAGCAAAAATAAATACATAAATAAATAAAGACCAGTCCTTTACTCAGAAACCTTTAAAAAAAAAAGTGAAACAATAAAATGTGGCAAAATACTTCCGCAATCTCCAGACTGCGGGAGCCTGTGGACCTGCCCTTGGGCCCAGGAAGCCCCAGGACATGGGAGCTACGGTTCTCTCAGTGACTCAGGGGCGCTACATGGTCCCCGTGGCTGGACTGACACCTGGAACAGGACGGGGGGAAACAGCAGGGTCTCAGTTCTGCCCCTGAAAACCTCCATGAAAACCTGATATCTAAACAGGAGGAACTAGACCTACACCAGCCTGTTCTGCTGAAACACCATCATAGGGCACCAGAAATATTCAGAATATTCAGAAATATTTAGAATCTTAGTGGCGCCTTTGTGCAAGATGACCGACCAAGTATTAGTACTCAGATATACAGCGATCTGAAGCTTAACAGTGAGCACCCACAAGCCTCGAAGGACAACGGGAAACAACAGAATCCAGTTTACTAGCGGGTAGGGGCTAAAGTCCAGGCAAGGCCTTGGGCTCAGCAAGATTCTCCCCTGGAGATGAAGAGGACGACAAGTCAACTCATGCGATGGCCGTGGAATTAAGCAACGGCTAGAGGAAAAGTACGACCCACCCAAAAAAGAGGTGACTCGGAGTGTGAAAGGACCAAGCACATGGAATGGAAGGCACTGAAGATTCTAGCAGCAAGCCCCAGTAACAGAGTCGTGCATGTGGAGAGCCCTTGGGCGCACGAGGAGACAGAACACAAGCCAACCACAAAAACAAAGCGCAAACAAGTCGAAGGTGGGAAGAGAATTGAAGATTTTTTAATGAATAACAGCAAGAGGAATGATCGCTGAGTTATAATAGGAATACCAAAGGAAAGCAAGAATGACTGGTGGAAGAAATAACTGAGACCCCCTAGTATCTGGGGGCAGCTTCTGCACAGACCCAAGAGGCCCAAAGAGTAACAAGCACAACAGACCCAAGCAGAACACCAAGATACACAGGAATCAAAATAGCACAAGCAAGAGACAGGACGAAAGAAATGAAGCATTGAGAGAAAATAAGAACATCAGGTGTGGGTAAAATAACGTAAGAACACAAAGATCTCTCATAGGATACTATACAAGCAAGGATAGAATGGAATGAAATACTCAAAGTAACGAATAAGAAAAAACTCGCAACCAAGAGTCCAGTACCCTGCAAAGCTGTCATTTAGATTTGAGGGCGGGATGAAAACCTTCTCAAACAAGAACTATTGACGTTAGGCCAACCCTGCAAGAATTACTGAAAGTCTGCCAATAAAAAGACAATTACAAAAATAACTCACACACAGTGGCAACACAGCCCTTTATCCCATTAATCTCTCTGAGTGTCAGTGGACTAAATTTCCTTTTCAAAAACTATGGAATGGCTGGATCAGGAAACAAAATCCCTTACTAGCTACAGAAAACACACCTAAATTCACAAGATAAATACAGGCTCATAGGAAAAGGATGAAAAACATACAAACCAATGGTAGACTTAAAAAAAAATGGCTGGGACAGGCATACTTACATCAGACCAAACAGTACTCAATCTAAACAAAGTAGAGACAAGGATGAAAGCAATTAGCTAAGGGGAAAGAGATCACGCAGTACTAATCTTGTCAGCACATCCGCTTAGATGCACAAGTGAAGGGGTGGCAACGTCTATGGAGATTCTGGGCTTCACATACCTAAAGAATCATATTGATGGAAACACCAGCAGTGGGGGGCTTCAACACTGCACTAGACAGAACTCAGAAAGCATTCAAGAGAATAGAATGGAACGAAATGAGGAGAGAGAAGAACTGGGACTAATACGCAGGGCCCTCCGCCTAGAACATACATCAATGTACAGGTACAAAAATCATAACAAAGCACCCTCCCAGGCTACAAGGCCACGACAGCAGAAATGAACCACAAGTGTGTGCTTTCTCTCTCCCTCCCTCCTTCCTCCCCTCTTTCCCTCCCTCTTTCCCCTCTCTCTCTCTCTTTCCTTTCCCCATCAACTCTAAAAAAATAAATAAAAAGGAAATTAACCACAAAAAGGATAGTTTGGGAAAACTATCCAAAACTTGGACACTGAACAAAATGCTGCTAAATTGCAAGCGGATCAAAGGGGAAATCAAGGAAGAAATAAAAAGATCCCTCAAAACTAATGAGAATGAATAAACAAGCTATCAGACTCTATAAGATACCTCAAAAACTGTACTAAAGGGGAAATTCAGAGCAATGTAGGCCTACATTCAAAAATTAAAAAAGAGCATATGCCACAAACAAGTGGTACTTACAGGGACGCAAAGATGGCTAAACACACACCAGTCAACATTACATACCACATCAATAAAAGATAAAAATCATATGATCTATCAACTGATGGAGAGAAAACATTCAACAAGAAAAAAAAAAGCCATCCATGATAAAGACCTGCGACAACAAAGGGGTGGAAGAATCAAAGAAACTTTCCTTGCAAGCCCACAAACATCATACTCAAAAGTGAAACATTGAAAGCCTTCCCTCTAAAATCAGGCATAAGGGAAGGTTTCCCAGTTACCTCAGCTACTCAGTATAATATTAGAAATCTCTGACAAAGCAATTAGGCAAGAAAGAGTTATTAAGGGCACTGACAGAAAAGAAGAAGTCAAGCTCTTACTATTTGTGGATGATATGAGACGATACTTAAGTCCCAAGACTCTCCAAAAAAGTTACTAGAAACAATAGATTTATATAATAAAGTGGCAAGGGAAAAAATACACAAAAAACCCATAGCTTTTCTATACACTGTCACTGGGGGGTCACTGTCCTCCCGTTGTTCATCAATTTGCTCGAGCGGGCCCAGTAACATCTCCATTGGAGACTTTGTTGTTACTGTGTCTGGCATATCGAATACGTCAC